GGCTTTAATTTAGAACGCGAATTTACCCTACTATGCGATAATATGTAGACTATACACCTACTAAAATAGGACACACCAAAACTCAACACTAAACTTCGACATATTGACGTCTATTAGCACTGGCTTAGACAGAAAGTCTAAGATAAAAAGATTGATATACGATGGGTTCCTATGGACAAAATGCCTGCTAACGGCCTTACCAAAATCTTACCTTATTAAAAGCACGAAGCATGGATACAGCAGCTGAATTTGGTAGATATTCAACATCAGATTAATTAAATCTATTCGCAATATCCGCAATATCCGCAATATTCGCAATATCCGTTACGGTTACCCCATCCTTTTGCTACTCCCAAATTGTATCCAAATTTCCTATTTTGGTATAGTCTCTACCTTTATTTTTGTTTTCTATAGCTTCGACTACACCATTAAATCTAAGGGGGTGTGTAACCGATTACTGACACTATGCTGAGACACAAGGTTGCAGCCTGGAAGGCAGCATTAACACTACCCTCGTATATCTTGCATACCTCGTATATAGCTTAAATGAGTTATAGATCAAGTCATAAACCCTACGGTCAGGACTCTATATTTGTGTATATATTTCACCTAATTTCCATAGATTTAGAATTAAGTCCTTTATTTAATTCTCCTACACTGTAAAGCTTACACTATAGTTCTCTCTTTATAGTAAATCCTAAAATATAACTAGAGTTAATCTATTAGGTACTTACTCTAACGTTACACTAATTGTCTATTTATCTATATACCTAGCCTATTAATAAGTTCACCGTAATATTTTCTATAAGGCTTTATTATAAGTATCTTATTAACTATTATATACTATAACTATAGTAGTAAATATATAATAAAGCCTTGTAGTAGATACTATAGTTGTCACGGAAGTGGGCACGAGCTGGAATACAATGTACTAAACAGGGTAGTAATTGAAGAAGGCTACGTACGCGTAACTATGCGTGGTTGATATAAAGACATTTGGATGCAGAACAGAACAGAACAGGTCAGGTACGGGTATAAATAGGGGTTGTAGGGGAACGTGCGTAGGTGTCTCGGGACGAACGTGAGCACGGGTCAAGACCGTCAAAACGCGCAGAGACGTGAGAACGTGTGAGTCCCGTGACAATAGTAGACTTATTAATAAACTATATATATAGATAAATATAATAAAAAATATATAACTCTAGAGTAAGTACCTAATAGATTAACTCTAATTATATTCTAAGATTTACTATAAAGAGAGAACTATCTAAGTAGGGACTATAGTCCTTTAAATACGTATCCATACGCCTAAGAAATCCCATTATTACCTAAGGTACGTAAGCCTTTACAAATCTTATAGAGCTTATAGAGCTCGTCATGTGACCTCGCTAACCACTCGTTACATGGCTCCACCCGCAGACCACTAATACACTTTCCATCGCCCTTACAACCCCTCGCCATGCTCTCCCACCAGCAGTGTTAAACCAACGTCCCCCCTCCATTTGATGACTGGGGTGAAGTTCTTATTGCCAGACCGTCCCGATTTTGCATCCCCACAAATGTCCAATGGCGACTCTAACGAAGATTGGGACGACAAAGATGACCAAGCCCAGCGATGGCATCCATCTAGTCCATTCGATCCTGTGATACCACCCGGACGACGGATTTACGTACGCTCTGATTCCAAAAGACGGCGAGATCTAGACGGTGAAGAAAGACTCGGGAATGAAGACAAAAGTCCTCTCAATCATCAGATACGGAAGCTAGCTAAAGACGTGGACATTGCCTATTGGAAAAAGAAGATAGCCTTGAAAGGGTTGAAAACGACCCTTGAGAAGCGGAACAAGAAATGGTTCCGATCGGTGACCATTTCTGACAGCGGGATTTCTGGGTACCACTATCCCCATCCGTCCCGAGTACTGTCCACAATGCTGGAACGCATTAAGTCCCTCAACAACGAGAGATACGGCGCATATCTCCAGGTTGAAGCCAAACTTGTTGTAAAGTTGAAAGGCGTTCTCCGCACTGAAGCTTTAAGGGTTTTCGAGAATGGAGACTATGAACGAAGCCAGTAAGTATTCTTTGATATTTATGATTGACTAGCACTCATTCTCTATCAAGTCTCCTCTCTATTTGTGGAACTCCTCCGAACGGCGCCGGTATTTATCTTCATATTCTCTGGCTTGAAAGCGATCCCCGGTTTTACTTATATGTTGGTTAAAGTCAAGAAACACAACAGAGAATCCAACATCATAATGATCCTAGATATCGCGAGCGATACAAATCGCTTCACTACTATGTTTGGGAGAAGCTGGGGCCTAATGTGAAGTCTGCATGNGTTATGCTCTCGGCTCCTGGACCTGACGTTCTGATTGACCCACTCTCATTAAATCTTTTAGAGATGTGGTGCAGTCTCACTCTTCAAACTCTCCCAAAGGATACGCTGGCGCAGTACCTTCCATGCGAGACGCTAGCACCCCAGGCAGGCTGCCACTTGAACCTTGCATCACCGCTCAGCCAAAGTGTACAATCAAAAGGCCCCGAAGCTGACGGCTTGGGTAATTTATATGCTTCTGATGATTCTCTTTTCAAAGAGTATTTCAAAGAACGTGTGAGACAATATCGCGAGCTGCGGAATTCGAACGACCCTTTCTTACGCGATTACTGGTGGGACAACGCAAAACGAGCAGTAAATGCTGCAAATAAAACCGTCCGCGACAGAATTCGCTCAGAATCCCTGGAAGGAATGGAGCTACCAATCGCAATTCGCGTTAAGAAGAGCACTCAGACATTTTCAGTGGGTCCCTGTTTACTCAGTGTGCCTATAGAACTTATAAGACTTGCTCCAAAGAAAATCTTGCACGTCCAATGCGTTCTTACAGAAAGCCCGGACAATGATTGTTACGCACAGGCGAGTCGTCGTTCTGATGATGCGTCGCGTCTACTAGTGCGGATTTGCGGGACAGATGTAGATGGAAAGAAGTTCGACGGCATAACATACTCGAACGGCCAAAAATGCGTATACAAAGCTAACACTTTGTTCGATATCCTAGCAGGAAGGAGTCTTACAGAATCGCGCAATTTGCCACGGCGCTATATGTGCTGTAGGCAAAATAGTGGAAGATTAACAAAATACACTTAGAATGAGAAATATAGATTTGGGCAATGCCATAAATTTGTCAAGTGCTATTATATACTACGAGATATTATAGATTAGCTAGGAAATAGGAACGTTAATTAGCAATTACAAGGCTAGAGAAATAAAGGTCAACGATAATTATACACCAAGCATAAACGAATAAGTCGTAGCACATTTTCTTTTGGCCTGTATGAAGAACACCAGAGGTTTAACGACCCCAATATTTATTAAATTTTCTAAAAGTTGGCGAACCAAGTCTTTTGGTAGCATTATACTTAAGGGGAAATTTTCAAGATTTTATCTTTTACTGGCGTTATGTTATTGCATTTTAGAAAAATTGCTTAGTCAGAAAGTGTCCCACGACTTATTCGGGTATGCCTGACACCCACTAAATGATACGCGTACACCCCCCAATTAATACGCATACACCCCACCTTATTTAGTTTAGACGCTTCCTTATTAAGTTAGATGTTTCCTTATTAAGTTAGAATATCACGTGCGTTTGACTTGTTTGTGCCTNCATCGCGAAAATTAAAGTGCGCGCCATGTATGCAACATCACGATTAAGTCTTAATTTTAGTTATAGTATAAGTAGTAGAGTCTAAATTTGGATCGCGACTGAGTCGCTTAATTGGATTGCGTAGTGCTTTATAAGGCGTCGCGCAAACTGATTTAGGGCGTGTTCGGTTGCAGCTCCAGACTGAATCTGGAGCCTCAATCTGATCTGGAGGTGTCTGTTCGGTCAATCTAGCGACTTTCTGATCTAGAGCTCCTTCAGATCGGCAACCGCGTCAAATTCGCACGCTTTACCATATATAGTAGTTAAACTTAAGCTCTTGGCGTCAGATCAATCTACAGCTTTTTTCTCTAGATTAATCGTTAAGTCAAATCTGGAGCTCTGCTTATGCGTTTGCCCACCATACCTCCAACCGCCACCACCCTTACCAACGACAGATTACTACTGCAGCTGCAGGCCTATACGATGTCCTCTTAATTAATTCTTATTGTCACCATTCAGATCCAACCAGGCAGAAGACATCGCTAATCCTAAGCTCCATCTAAGGCCTTTTATTAGAACGATTAACCAAACAGTCGGCTTTATTTTAGATTGAGTACGACTAACGTGGCTAACGGGGTTTTGACCGCTCCCCCAGTTATGACCGTTTGGAAAATCAAAGTGAGCCGAAATGTTAATTTGGTGGAAAACAACTAACAAAAGTTCCAAACGGTCATAACTAGGGGAGCGGTCAAAACCCCGTTAACTACGTTACCAGATTAAGCGCCACTAATTATCTTCTAATTGACGCCGGTGAAAGCACGGATCAACGTCAGATTGAAAAAGCTCCAGATTGCAACCGAACACGCCCTTTTAGGTGCTGCCACCTGCTTCGCGCCCACGCGCACACGCGCCCACGCCCGCGCCCGGTACGACCCAAATTAACACCTCTGCTTCGCATTCAAGGGCCTGCAATTATAGAGCGTCGCGGCAGTCGGCCAAACCCTACAACTGGCTCTGCAATTGCCAATCGCGTCGACAGATCTACTCGTAGAGAGCCCTCAGCATTTGAGCGAAATACTGGCTACACCATTAGCTCGCACTTTGATTTTCGTAATGCAGGCGCAAACAAGTCAAACGCACGTGATATTCTAACTTAATAAGGAAACATCTAACTTAATAAGGAAGCGTCTAAACTAAATAAGGTGGGGGGTGTATGCGTATTAATTGGGGGGTGTACGCGTGGTGTATAATATTGTTAACCGAAATAAAAAGGCTTAAATTAGTTCCCAATTTTCTTTTTTAAATAGTCGGTCGAAAATTGATACTTTATAGCTATAATTAATATTCATTTGTGACTAAAAAGCCTTTCTGGTCTAGTTGGTTATGACGTCGGTCTCGTGAGTTTGTTAAGTTGGTAAAACCTACAATTCTAATTAATAATAGATATGATATGACTTCGAGCATCGAAGACATCCGAAGGTGGCCGGATCGATCCCGGCGAAGGGCATTTCTTTTTTAAGTGAGGACAGTCCTTTTTTAAATGAGGACAGTTCTTTTTTAAATATATTTTTCTCGGAATTTAGAGGGTATTAAACGGCCTAGAGCCTTCACAGTGGACGAAGCATGTTATGTCGGTTAAGGCAGCAAGGCACCAACACCAACGAATGCCCCTAGATAGCAATACAACCACCAAAAATCATCAAAATAATGACTGTTTCAACTCCAAATCGCCGTAAGGCTCGTAAGGAGGCCTCTACGCACACTCGCACTCGTTTTTATAACCTCTACGACGACCGCAGGCCCGGTGAGACCGTAGATAATGTATGCCGGCGCATTAACTTCACGCATAGCACCCGTACGGCCGAGCGTATGCTTAAGCTTTGCAGAGAGATAGGCAAGCAAGCTAACTACCGCCCTGGCAAGCACAGATCCGGCAAAAATTAACGTGTTATTAGTAATGAGCAGCTTAACGCTATCCAGAACGAAAAGAAGGGCATATAGATGGCACCTCTTAACGCTATAATGCGAAAACACCGCATTACAGCCACCGTACGAACGCTATAAATATATAATAAGAAAAACAAGTGGAGGCGCTTTAAGATGGCTCTTTTAGAAGAATAGAGGCCTATAAGAGTAATACGAGTGGGAGCATAAGAATTATACGGTTAATAACTTTTGGAAGTTTATATACTTTATGGATAAAGCGCACATTAACCCGCATTAAGAGAGCTCTAAGTATATCTATAGGAAGGAGGGAACACGCTATAAAATAGAGAATTTATAGCACTTTAATAGGTATAAGGATACCGGCGCACGCCTATATATGGCAAGCGATATCTTATAGCATTATATTAGTAAACTATAGTTTTATAACAATAAAAACGACTATATAGAAATCGTTAAGCCCCCCTATAAGCTATGCTACCGTCTAGTAATAAAGATAGAGGAGGATTACTAGTAAAGGCTCTTAACGTGGCGTGCAGAGTAACCCTATAGTGTTAATGCGAAGCTAAAGGGCAATTTAATAACCTAAAAGTACTATACTAAGCGACTCCTCCCCGGCCTTATTGCCACCCTTTATAAGTATAAGAGTAACTTAGAATACTAGGAATATACAGGGAAATACATGCTCTAAGAGGATAATAATAGCTCGTACGGTATATGGTTAAAGAATAACGTAGCCAGCCTAATAAAGGAGAGGGCTGGTATTTGGTGTCTTAAACACCTAGTATAATCCCCAGATCTTAACCTAATTAAAGGCCTCTAGAACGTCTTTAAACAACGTCTTCGGCAACGCTATTACAAGTAGAAAACACTAGAGGAGCTTAAGGAAATAGCCCATAAAGAATGGGATAGAATTCGCAATTCTATAAATAGCATATTAAAGATTCGACGGCGTATCGCCGAGATGCTATAGCAATGCAAATTGCTACGGAAAACGCGTGGCGAGCGCATCCGAAGCTCTTTGTGGTAATTAATATTGTATTATTTTAATGCAGAAGCAATAGATTTAGGCTTATGGACGTTGTTTTATAATAAAATACGTGTAATAAGGTCTGGCGTTTGAAATGGCTGCCTTGCTGCCTTGCTGCCTTAACCGACATAATATACTTCGCCCACTATACCTTTAATAAGCTAGAGCTAGTAAAGGAGGCAATAATCATAAAAGATTGCAAATATCCCCTCTATATATATACTTATTTACCCGCTTAATTATATTACCTAATAATTAAGCTAGGCGAATAAGCGATATAATAAGAGGACTTTATCAGTTGCGTAAACTACGTAATTAGGTATATATAAAGGGTTTTACTATATCTTTAGTTTTATCTATAACGTACTTTATTTTCAACTTTAATTTAGCTAATAAGTTTAACAAGATTATATATTAAAGACTTTTATTATAAGCCGGTAATGCATAGTAAGGGAAAAGCTCTTACTATATCCAACCTAAAAGAAGACCAAACTAACTAAAAGATCCCTAAAAAACACCTAAAGAATCCCACTAAGATGTATATATCGTAGGGAAGGTATATATTAAATAATAGTAGTATATACTTATACGTAACCGCTAGAACTACGCCTAATAATAGCTATTACAGAACACCCCTATAACACCTTACATATATCTACCTATTTCCACCAACTTAGCAATCTGACGGCAATTTACGGCATTCTGCTATATTCTACCAAGTTCTACTAAATTTTATTAAGTTTTGCTAGGACTATAACCTAAACCCTATTTTGCCCTATATATGTATTAACTAAGCAACTAAGTTAACAATATATACCCTTTCTTCCCGTTTTCCTACCTTCTTTCCTTACGCAACGTCTTAATTTTATTACACAGTTTATGTATATAGCTTAATAATATCTACTTTACTATATATTATCGTCGCTTATACTCACTCTATAACATTACATTATATTAAACCTATACTACCTTACCCTACCTAACATACAGAACAACCTAGAAGCCCCTATATCTATAATTAATTTATATAATATATTTACTAAATAAATAAAGGGCCTGCAATAGGCCTTTATAGATACCCTTACTTAATAAAAGGTTTAACACTAAGAAATAATTAGATCCCTAAGAAAAGAAATTAAAGAAATCCGCCGTAACCTACTATCTGCTATACTACCGCCCCCACCCGTTCCTACTAGTGTTAGCCTATAAGTACTAAATGAAGAAGACATGTCTAAAACTGGCTCCTTAACCCTAAATTCGCCAATTAGTGCCCCTGTAAAGAATCTAACTAAATATCTCCCTAATCCTCCTACCTATTTAGGTAAAAGGAGCGAACTATACTTCTTCCTTAACTAACTTAAGAATAAGCTAAACGGTAATAGTAATTACTACCCCACCCCTAATAGTTAACTATATTATACTATAAGCCATCTAACAGGAGACGCTATGGAAACTATATACCCGTTCTAGCTAAACACTATAAAAAAACTAGTTACTATACTAGAAGCATCTTATAGCGACCCTAACTAAATTATAATAGTATAAAGGAAACTAAATAAGATAATATATAGCTCTAAGAGCTTCCCATTATACTTTACTAAGTTCTACCGCTATGCTAAAGAGACTAAATAAAATAAACCCGCCTTAATTAATCGCCTAGTAAAATCCTTAAACTTTAAACTAAAGGCTTCCTTTATAGGAGTTAAGCTACCAAATACCCTTACTACCTACACTAATATTATTAACGGCCTATATAATAATATACTACGCCTTACCCTAAAACATATACCTTAATACTCTACCCCCTAGCCGTCTAAGACCCGTAAGGACCTAAACGCTATAAATATTAACACTAAAACCCTCTCTTACGCCCTAAAAGGATCTATTAAACGTAAACGATGTATTAAATATAGCCTTTGTTTTAAGTGCGGAAGCGATACTTATATCTTAAGTTACTACTCTATTCCCCTGCCAAAAATAAATATTTAAATAACTAGTATAGGCAGTATACTACTATCCCAACTATATAAAAGAATAACTAGTATAAGAAACCAATCGCCTTAACTAAGCTCTACCTACTAACCCCAATTATTATCTAGCTCTAATATGTTATATAATAAGCACCACCTATAAGGATAAAGCTATAACTAACACGCTATAAGAACTCCGTCCTAATTGCCTCTAAAAGGAAGGTCTTAAAGCTAAATTACTTTCCGGGACGGCTCTACCTTAAGATCTTATTAAATGCTTTGGATGTTATAAACTCTAACTCTTAGGATTATAGCATAACCATTAACTACCGCCTATAGTAAAATAATTAATGGGTTAGTACTTAAGTCTTAATTAATATAAGAGCCAGCAGTATAGGATTTATTAATAAGATCTTCGTGTAAGATAATAGTTTTACCCTAACCCCCCTTAACTAACATATTAACGTATTTAGATTTAATGGTAAACGCACTATCTTAGGCCGTATTACCCACGTAGTATTCCTAAAACTCTAATACCTAAACTACAAAAAACTAATTAGGCTTTTCGTTACCACCCTAAGTCACTTAGTAATCCTTAAACAACCCTAGATAAAGCTATATAAGGTAACTATTAATTAAAACAACCTTAAGATTCTATTTACCGCCTCCTACTATAAGCAGAAGTACCTTATAACTTACTACTTAGACCTAAAACCAAAATCTAAAAAATCTACTAAGATCTACTAGCCTAAGAATTCCACTAAATTCCACTAATATCTACTAAGGATCTAAAAATTCCACTAAACCCCATAAATAGACCCCAAGTACTATACCGCCCCACGCTAAATAAAAGCTTAAGCTTACCATATAAAAGTACTAGAAGGACTAGTACTCTACTATAAAGAGCATACTTAAAGAACCCAAACCTAAATTTAACACTAACTCCGCATTTAATACTAAACCTAAAGCTAAACAGGAAGCTATATAAGAAACTATAGACAATTTAAGCGAGCTTAGCACCCTAGATATCCGCATAATTGGAGCTACCCTACTAGCGCAACTTGTTAAGAAACCCGAGCATACAATCTTCGCTATCACAACAGCTAATATTAAGAAGGCCTTAGCACCAAAAAAGCACACTAACCCTGCCATAAAGGTACTAGTAGAGTATTATTATTGCCTAGATGCATTCTTATAAAAGGAAGCTAATAAGCTACCAGAACACCAACTATAAGATTATACTTAAAGAAGGAAAGCAGCTTAGATTTAGACCCTTATACGGAATATCCTAAAATAAACTTTAAGTATTATAAAAGTATTTAGACGAGAACCTAAGTAAAGGATTTATTAGAGCAAGCTCGTCGCCTATAGCCGTACTAGTAATCTTTATTAAGAAACCCAGCGGCGGTCTACGCTTCTATATAGACTACTAAGCTCTTAATACCATTACTATTAAGAACTAATATCTAATCCCGTTAATACAAGAGACGCTAAACCGACTAAGTAAGGCTTGTTACTACACAAAGCTCAATATTATCTCTATATTTAACCATCTCCGTATTA